TACTTACCGTATCTGTTTCTTTTTTTTGTTTCAACTCCTTTTCTAATTTCATTCTTTTTTGCTTTTTTGTAGCAACCATGGGAGATGTGGAACCCGTTCCTAATTTCCGTGGTTGGATAGATGCTATTTTGAAAGCCGTGCCTATGGAGGCACGAACCTAGAAATCTATTTCCAACAAACATGGTTGGANCCGTCAACAAAACTAGAAATTGCTTGTCCGGTGGGACGGGTTAGTGATCAAACAAAAACAATTCATACGCAATGCTTTTGATTCAACATTTTTAGTTTTTCTTCTTTTGTATTTAACAACGTAAAAATGATGGAAGTACGATGCACTCATATTTTTCCGATGTAACGAGTAAAGAGGGAGGTGCAAAGATNTCAGGTAAAAGGGAATACCAGGTTAATGCACCCTTGGTGAGTGTTTCTCCAAATTTTTTGACCAACACGGATTCAATTTCTTGCTTGGTCAAATCATTGCCTTTTACACCTGTAGTAAATGCAGTTACGTGATCACGTGGGTCTGTTGTGCCATCATATTTCGAGATGTCAGGCATTTTGAACTTTTTAGGGATTGGAAGGGGAGCAGCACTTGGTTTCCAAGGTTGTTGCGAGTATTTATCCACATCCACTCCTTTGATTACAGGGGGAACTCTAGGGATTTGCTCGATGCGCTCATTTTGTTCCTTAAGCTGTTTCTGCAAAGTTAGTACTAAATTTTGCAAATGAGAATTATTTGAATTACCTGGTTCTCCTTCCTGTGGTTCACTGGGGGTTCCTCCATTTCCAGAATTAACAAGGCCAGAACGAGGATTCTCCAATATATTGTTATTAGGCGTAGGTGTGGGTGGTGCAACAGGTAATCGACTAACTAGAGCTTGAAGAGCTTTGCTAAACCGTGCATCAATTACTTTTTGTAAAGCGTCATCTGCTCCTTCAAAATATTCAGATTGCTCTTGTTCAACAGCACGAGATTCAGGAGCAGGAGTGCCTTCACGAGATTGACGTGGTGAATTTTGAGGGGGAGGAACCACGTTAATGTTTTGTAAATCACCTTCATTTTGATGGATTTGATATTCATAGTTTCTCAAGGTATTTTCACTGTTATTGTTGTTGTTGTTGTTTGACATGATGATAACAACAGATAAAACGTAACTTAAAAAGAATAGATTATCAGATTCCCGGTAACGGAACCAATTTGTTTAACCAAAAAACTGAATATTTGGTTAAAGCTAGAAATTAAGAGAGAAATCGGGTTACTGATAATCAAGAAATGAGAGACTTTGAGAACAACAATAAAGCAAAGAATAAGTATATATTTCAATATAATCTCAATGATATTTCGTGTCCTACAGATGTTGAGACCTTCTCCTTTTATAGTTAATTCTAAGAGAAAGTATAATGCCTTTGTCTTAATGAGGCAATTACGAGCAATAAATGACATTAAAAGAAACGTTACTCAATCATTCCTATTAAATACAAATTCTCTAACGTATTTGGCATTTAATGCTGAATTTGGACTCTTTTACGCTATCAGATTCATGTCTTCAATTCCTTCTGATCTTCGAGCTTTAAATGACTCGAACAGGTACGAGTCTCATTTCATTTAAATAATAGCTCGTGCCTTTAAGTATCTTCTCTCCCACATCTGTTGTTGCTCGTGCCTCCTAATTGATTACCACGTTTGACCATTTGACCAATCTACGTGTCATGACACGTCATCTTCAATATATAAATTCAGTTTTTTCCCAATACAGGAGGAACGCTGGTTTAGGAGAAGAATTTTTTTCTTTTTAAATATTTTTTTTGTTAATTACATGTGTCAAATTCTTATGGCAAAATTACACGTGTCATTTTTTGATTGGTTCATTTGCCATGTCATCGGCAAGTGCAACTCACGCATATGGCATGCTGTACTCATGTGTTTACTTGACCTACTTAATAACCACTTGAAGTGTTTAACTGGAAATTGTCTCAGTTGAGGTGTTCAACTGACCGTTGTGGACAACTTAAGGGGCCGTTTATGTATTTCGCCCAAATACAATTCTATTTATAACACCTAGATAAATAAAGTCACAATTTTAAAAAGTTATCACATTTAACGGTTCTATTCACGGAGTAAGGGTAGCAGAGGTGGCATATTAAACTAATTAAAGTCTGGTCCCTTATGTTTTGCACATATAAGGAAGGCCCAATTTACTTCTGTTGAGGCTGGTAAGTTTTATAATTCATAAATTTAACTACTAAAAGTGTCATTTACTCAAATAGTCACTCTTTTGAGGTTTTAAGGCAAAGTATCTTCACCTCCGGGTTTGTTATTTTTTTAGTATACCTCAGAGCTCCAATAAAGTTAAAACAAACAAATTACAAAGAAGGAAAAGTGGGAAACACGCATGAAGCATATAACATATAGAAGGTAACAAGGGGTCAATCAATTGACCAAAATGTAATTATAGTTTAAATAATACTTCGTCCCTTTCAGTTTATGTAAACTTATTTCCTTTTTGGTTCGTTTCAAAAAGAATAATGTCTTTTTAAATTTGTTAACAATTTAGCTTAAACTTACTATTTTAACCTTAATGAGAAACTTTTATAACCACACAAATACGCTGGCCTCTTTTTGACTTGTTTAGGACTACAAATTCTAAAAATCTTTATTTTTTTCTTAAACTCCTTGCCAAGTCAAACATGTTCATATAAATTGAAACGGAGGGAGTAGTATCACGAGTGTAAGTTTGCACCACTGCTAGTTAAGCTTTTCGTACCTTCTTTTAAGTTTTAACTATCTGCAACCCCCTTCCCGAAAAGAAAAGGGGAAAAGGATCAATTTTGCTCTATAGTAATTGAAATTGAACAATTTTGCCATCCGTGAAAATAAGTGGGCATGTGGCATCAATTCATTCCATGTTGGAGCTCTATTAATAACTAGGGTAAATACAAGATAATTTTCTAAGGACAAGAATATGAATGGACCAAAAGTGTAATAGACAAAAAATTGAACAATTTCACATAATATAACATGTACAAATTCAGACATTTTACCTAAACAAAGACTATATTATCACCTTTTTTCCTTCTTCTTTTTCCTCTATGGTCTATACTAAGGAAGTAAATCTGGGAAAATATAGGAGTAATTAACGGACTCGAAGTTAATACAAATCAGAATAACTTACCTTATAGGAAAAGTTCTTTTCCAGATTTATAACAAAGGAAGTGAGTAGAATATACTCCTAGCATCTTCTTTTAGACAATTTCTAAACGTGAAGTACAAGCATAAAGACCTGAAATTAAGCGTTAGTTTTCCAGATCTGGAGAAATGAATTAGATAACTGTTTTAGCATGTGAAGTTCCATTATTGGGAGGGGCAGCTAATCAACAAATAAAAGCCGATCACTCGTTTTTCTTTCAATTTGTTCCCCAGCATTTAACTGCACCCATGCCTTGACAGGTAGTCCTTTTAGCCTACTATTGCACGAAATTTATTCGTACGTAGTTTCTTTTTTGTGTCAAATCAAATAATTTATGTATATACCATGTTAAATTCTAGTAATAACATATTATGTATTTATTGATTTAATGTAAATCCCAAATATAAATAAGTTCAAGCGATTTACCCATCTCGAATCAAATATTATTCCCATCTTTGCTTAGACTCCAAATATTATTCCCATCTTTGCTTGCACTTCTCCATTTCTTTTGAGTTGTATTAGACTTAACAACCCGTAACCGAAAAGAAGGGTGATAAGTTCGAAAAATAATGAGAGAGAACAAAAAAAACAAAAAAGGTGTCAATGATCATGCATGTGTAACCTACTTGACACCCTCATCGTGTCACCTTCCCTTTTGCTCAAGATAAATAGTACACTTAGCATATCTGAAATTGAATTATGTATAATCTTTTCAGATTAATGATGTCTAATTAACTTTTTGAAAAGTGTTCCCAATAATGGGTAGCATTAAAAAAATCCTTGGCCTCATATTTTCAATTGATTGATGCAAATCCTTAGCCTTTTACGTGCCAAATCAAGAGACTTCACTTAAAAAAAAAAAAAGCAAACTAGCTATCTTATGGCACAATTATTAAAACGTTAAATTAATGGGGCGGATGTACCCTAGTCCAAGCAGTGTCGCCGAAAAACTTTAGTTATTGTACATATAAATATTTTGCAAAAGGTATAGATGACACCGCTTCGCCGGAAAACTTTAGTTATTGCACATATAAATATTTTGCAAAAGGTATAGATATAAATCAATGATACTGCCGATCAGAAGATAGTATCTAGTCTGATGGTCAAGGGCCTCACTTGCAACGTCGAGGTCTGCGGTTCGAATACTTCATATGCCTTTCTTTTTGCATTTTTTTCTTTTAAGCCTCTTTTCTTTAAAAAATAGAAATGTAACCTCTTCCGTGACACCATAAGTGATGATGAAATACATTAACTTCTAAAAAGTAATTATTTTAGAATAAGATAAACGAATTTTAAACTGTAAATACAAAAAAGTTCGCATCCTCTATAACTTGTAATTTTTAAGTGACAGTGTTTGATGGTGTTGCTCTTCTCTATTTCTTATCTCCCATATTTATTGTAGTAATTTGTTCACCGCTTTAAATTTCGACACCGCTTACAAAAAATCCTGCATACGTCCCTATTTATATACACAAAAGAACATTATTCAAGTAATGCTTGAAATAATTTGTCCCAACTTCATATATTTATTTTTCTATTTAACACCAAATAGTGTTCTATTTTATACCAAATTAACAAAAAAAATGATAATTCTTGTGTTAGGTCAATTTTCTTTAAAAGAAAACCTGTCCCCTGTAGATTTGTAGAATGGATACTTTGCGTTTGCAGTCACTTGTTCACTTAGCTGCATGCGATTGTTCGTACCACATCGCAACTTAATAACTAAAAGTGGAGTAAACTTCACGCGAAATTAATCCGCGTGACACACAATTATATCCCCTTCTTGCGCGTTAAACCGCGTAATCCCCGAGTATAAATAAAACCGAAGCAACTATCCCGCAACTGAGAATCTCCGGAACATGGCTAAAAATCCGAGAGATTCCTCACCGCCGGCGAGCCTAACGGCGGAGATAGAGGAAGTCGAGAAGGTGTTCAAAAAATTCGACACTAACGGCGACGGTAAAATCTCCTTATCGGAGCTTGGCGGAATTTTGAATGCTCTCGGCACCAAAACGACGCCAGACGAAGCAAAGCGAATGATGCTAGAAGTTGACACCGACGGCGACGGTTTCATCGACTTGAAAGAGTTCGCTGCATTTCACTGCCCCGTTGAAAGCCCTAACACTGTTAATAAGGATCTCCGTGAGGCTTTCAATTTGTATGATAAGGATAAGAACGGGAAGATTTCGGCGGCTGAGTTGCACTCCGTTTTGAAGGGCATTGGAGAGAAGTGTTCGCTTAAGGATTGTCGGCGTATGATCAGTTCCGTTGATGATGACGGTGACGGTAGTGTTAACTTTGAGGAGTTCAAGAAGATGATGTCTAAGGCTTAATGTCTCACTCTGCTTGTGGAATTAACGGTAGGAGTTTAATTGGATTGAATCTCGTAGATTAGTAGATAAATATCGCCGTTTCGTTATATTTAGTGAAACTGTTAATAGGGATTCGATCGGACTAATTTGAAGTAATCGAATATCATCTTTTATTCGTTATATCGTTTCTTTTCTTTTGCTTCTATTTTTTGTTGGTTTATATATAATTGCTGTGTTTTGATGGGATTAGACATTGGAGTGGTGCACAAAGAAATTTTCAATTCACGAATTCATAAATGTCACAGATTGTACCCATGGAACCACAGGAACTTATATGAATAGGGACGGAATTACAAGACCGGATTCGATGGGGAATCCAATACTATCTGTGAGTAGGGACGAGTAGGCCGGGTCAGATATGGCCGGATCGAAAATCGGTAAAGTAAATAAATTATTCGACTTAACCCGACTCATATTTAATATGTTGATAATATATACGAATGGAATTATCAATGACTTTTTTAAAATGATCACTTTTGAAAAAATTACTAGTCATCCAAACTTGCCCAATTTAACTTTTTGCAAATGTAAAAGTTAAATCTAATGGTTATCCTTTTTTAAGAGGATAATATAGATTTTATGCATATTTAATCCATTTTTAAAAGTTCATTATGCAATCCATTTTTAGTGGAATATGGATGGATAATTGTATTTTTATTCATTTTGCCACCACTATCAATAAGGAATATAAATTTGTGTGTAAAACTCTACTAAATCTATAAATACATTTTTAAAATATAATATGTTCAATGCTAAAAACATTAAAAGTATAGCGGAAAATGGCCAAAACTACCCTATCGTTTGCTAAATGGTTTATAAATACCCTCTGTCCATCTAGCCGTCCAAAAAAATTCACGAAGTTAATTCTATTAATAAAATTGCCCCCCGCGACTAACGGCAGAACTGGTAGGCCTATAATTTAATGACATGTCATTTTTCTACTGGTCCACGTGGCAATATCGGACTAAAAGAAAAATAAATCTTATTTCAACCCAACGGCTTCCCCATTTTCCCGATCTTCTTCTTGATTTCACCTAAACTCTCTCTTCCCATTCATCTTCTCTCTTGCGCAACTACCGTCATTGGGAGTTGACCTCCACCATCATACTGGCCGCAACACTATTTTCACCACTGTAGCGGTTGTCTCTGCAACTCCATCACCGTAGCTACTGCTCCCACCACCATAGTCGCTTCTTTCATCACATCCTCTACCACCTTACCTACCTCACCACCATAGTCATTTCTTCCATGAACAACACCCTAAAGTTACAGAAAACTAAAGGAGAAGTAAGGAAAAAATTCTTATTTTACACCCTAAAACTAAAAATAAAAAAACTTGTATATATCGTTGGCGTTTTCAAGAAATTAAGTTGAGAGTACTTAATTGAGAAACAAAATTTCCTGATGGGTGGTGAGATATCTGAATTCAATTTTGATAGGATCAGTTGGTTTTTTTTCCAGATCCACTATCTCTAGAGAGAAGTAAGGGAAAAGAAATAGAGAGAAGAAGGGGAAAAGAAGTAGAGAAACCTTGAAAAAGGTCGGCCGTGTATTGCTAAAGGATCAGTTAGGTGGACTAATGTAATTTTATGACCCAGCTAACAAAACCTTGGGTTAGATAAGGTAAATGGATCATAATAATATTCATTTTTGTTCCAGTCAAAGATTGCCACGTGGCCCCGTAGAAAATGACACATCATTAAATTGTAGGCCCACCAGTTCTGCCGTTAGTCACGGGGCGAGGGGGGGGGGGGTAATTTTATTAATAGAATTAACATCGTGTATTTTTTTGGACGGATAGATGGACGAAGGGTATTTATAAACCATTTAGCATATGACAGGGGTAGTTTTGGCCCTTTTCCGAAAATACAATCATTTTGTACCTATATAGAGTTGGAGAATGGATATTTTGTGTTTGTTGAGCAGTGTTTGTACCCATTTGATAGAGACTGGATTAACCCCCCCTCCCCCTCCAATTGCATCAGCCATGTTAATCGTGGGCCACTCTCTTTTCTTATAAAGGTAAATCTCTTGAATCATGGTTGGGGTTGTAGTTCAATAATATTATAAAATAGATGGGTTGGATTAAAATCGAATAATTAGTATTAGATGGATATGGGGTCGAGTTAAAAGAGGGGGTCTAGTCATATGACACATGGAAAATTTGGGTAAAACAACTATTTAAAAACAGGCGTTAGTGAAAATGACATGTATGGACGAATAGTGTAATGTCAGTAATATGAATTTATTAATGGGTGGCATAAATAAGCCATTTCTTAAAGTTCTCCCCACTACGAACACGATTGTGACATGTAAAGTTTATCGAACTGTGGTGTATCCCCTGAATTCAAAACTCAGATCATACAAGACATATACTTTTCCATAGGGTAGATGCCATTCCAGTATCTGGGAGTTCCATTATCATCTAGAAAACTGTCAGTGGTTCAATGTATTCCACTGGTTGAAAAGATCATTGCTAGAATAAAGTGTTGGACTACAAAGCTTCTATCCTATAGTGGAAGAGTCCAGTTAATAAAAAGTGTTCTTTCCGAAATGCAGACTTATTGGGCACAAGTATTCCTGCTTCCAAAAAAGATTCTCACAATGGTAACAACTGTGTGTAGGAATTTTCTTTGGACAGGAAGTAATAAATTTTCTAGAAAAGCACTAGTAGCCTGGAGTACTCTATGTATGCCTAAAACTGATGGAGGACTGAGTATCTTAGATTTCTTTACACGGAACAAAGCTACAATATGCAAGCTCCTTTGGGAAACTGATAAAAAGAAGGACAAACTCTGGGTGCAATGGATTCATGTAATCTACATAAAGGGCAAAGACCTGAAGAGTGGCCACGCTGACACAAGCATGTTGGGTAGTCAGGAAAATATTTGGAGCAAGAGATTGGCTGAGAAATGCTGGAAATAATATGGTGGCTATTGAAGAGTTTGAAGATAAGGGGAAGTTCAGCATAAAAAAGACATACCGATTCTTTATCCCCCAGTTCCAGAAGGTATCTTGGCGAGGTTTGCTGCTGAACAAACATATCCTATCTAGGCACCATTTTATCCTTTGGCTAGTTGTCCATAAGAGGTCGTTAATAGTTGACAGATTGATAATATGGGGTATAAGAGTTTCGCAAGAATGTGTCTTGTGTAATTCTAATGAAGTGAAATCACTAGCTCATCTCTTCATTGCTTGCCCCTACACTAGCTCAATATGGAGCACACTACTGCGTTTGATAGGAGAACAGAGACAAGTCAAAAGCTGGGAGGAGGAAGTTGCCTAGACAGCAAAGAAAACCAGCAGCAAGAGACCAAGAGCAGGTATCATTGGGTTCCTGTTTGCAGCAATGGTTTATCATGTATGGTCAGAAAGAAATGGGAGAAGGTTCAGATAACAAAAAAGGGTAAAGGGAAGCTGATTCGAGAAGTCATACAGCAGTTGCATATATATGGTCAAAAAATTTTGTAGTTGGAAAAGTCACTTAGATTGTTTGAATAGCTACCCTACATAGATTTTAGTTGTTATAGTGATGTATAGTTTTAGTGATCTAAAGTTAGTCCTTTAGTTGTCATAGTCCTGATCCACTTGAAATTTGACTCATGACTCAAACTGAGTCATATGCATATATTGATACTTGGTTAAATGAAATTTTTCCTTTTAACTAAAAAAATAATATTGCTATTCGAGCAGAATAAACTTAAAGAAGCGTATGTTAAACTTAAAGAAGCAATATTTTTCAACTCTTTATTTCTTTGTCCTACAAGTGGTGGGAAAAATATTTTGAGTGCTAAGGAAACTAGAACGTTATCCGGTGAATTAACAATAAAAGAATTATATATAAAGAAAACTCATACACATACATCACAACCACGTGGCTTTATAAATTTATAGCCCAAAAATAATAGGCCAATAAGGTCATATAAACATGAATCTTAAACAGGGAAACTACCAGCTATGTTCATTTATAAGTAACTCATTACAAAAATTGGCCAATTCATAAAATATTACTAATATTAGCCAATTAGTTGTTTGCAACAAAAAAGGTCAAATTTTTGCTTTCTTTTGTGTGGGTGTTATTAGAATAGATTGGGTACATCTTAAGGAGCTTGAATCTTAGTTTTGGGATGATTAGTGAAGTTTTGAGGTGATTTGAATTGAAAATTTGAAGTAAAAACTGAATATGAAAAAAAAAAAAATGATATGTGTATCATTTGTGTATCATATTTGTATCAATTGTATATCACATGTATATTCATTTATACCGTATGTGAGATACATGCGTGATACATGTTTGATACATGTGTCGCAGAAGAATTTTTTGAACTTGATTTAATTACGAATTTTGATACAATACCAGTACGAATCATCTCCAATCTTCCTCAAATTTTGTATATTGACTTATGTATATGTTTTCAATGAATTTCAACTATACCCATTGAAAAAGTTCCTTTTTTGCTTAGATTTTAGAATATAGTATTTTTTTATGTTTTATTTTGTTTATCACCTTATTTGCTATCTCATCCATGAAATTTTCTTTCCGTCTTGCATTTATTGTTGCTAATCACGCTTAAAATATGGACGGAGATTTTTGCATGTGATTATTTGAGAGAAATAACCTTATTTATTTGATTTTTCAATTTTTATATGTGCTTGGCTAATTTTGGTAAGTCTATGATTAATGGCTAGAGGTTGATAATTTGAGACTTATTTGAGACATTTGTATAAGTTTTCCTCTTGAATATACGCTTAGAAGTTTTGAACTTCAGTAATTTTAACTTATTATCTAATCGGTGCAAAGCGGATGATTGAAGTAACAAAACTAAAATAAAAATAGAGGTTGGGGGTCGACAATGTAAATACTAATAAATTATATATTAAAAAACTAAACATTCTCCCATTTTTTTTCTTTTCTTTATGGAAAAACATAATTTTATAATGAAATATTCTCTTTTAGTACACTTTGAGTGATGAATAATTTAGGTTTTAACACATCAGAATTATTAGCCAAATTTTAAATTAAAAGGATGATTTTTTATGTGCAATTGTTGAAGCCATCCAACAAGATAATAGAAAAATTAAAACTTGGTAAAAGAATTATAGAATCCCTCTAGTACGTA